ATGAGGACTGGGGTGACAAAGGGTTGTTCAAGATTAAGAGGGGTAACGACGAGTGCAGCTTTGAAAGCGACATAAGCGCCGGTTTACCCAAACTGTAGACTTGTTATCAATTAAATAAAAAAGATTTATCATTAAACTGTAAATTATTATTTATTTTATGTGTTTGTCTTAATTCATTACTATTTACTAATATAAACTATGAATTAGCACTTTTTGAAATACCTTGCTCAGATAATTTATTAAAACAATTAATACATATTTCTATTGATTTTTCATAACTCCCGGGTTATTTAAACTCTGACCACGATTATTAAAGTTTTAAAATAAAACTTTCAATTTATTATAATTGTTTTTAATCATCATACCTATTTCAAAATATAATTAAGTTTTAATTGATATTATCGAAACAAATAAACTAATAAAATCAAATAATTCAAAATATTATACGATTTACCTTTATAAATTATAATCATTATTTAATATAGGGAAAGTCCTCTGATTATTTAAAATCGTAAATAATTTTTTACGAGAAAAATTTTATTGCCAGGTAATTATACATTATTTCAAATGTGATCTCAAATAAAAGTTAAGTACAATTAAGTGCTTTTCTTGACAAAATTGTATTTACATAATTTCTCATACAGTATTGACAAATATGACAATACTTATAAAATTAACAATTATATACACTGTATCAATTATTAATTCAATATCAAATGAACAGGTTTATACTAATGTAATAATTCATACTAAACTTTATGTTTCAAGTATGTAACTAACTATGATAACAGTATAATAATTTGTTATTTCAAAAATAATTCCCCAATTTCCCACTTTGTTTTAAGTACATATTGAGTACTTTCTCATTCAAATCACCACCAAGGTTGCTTTATATTTGAGAACATTATTGCCAATTTAAAACATTCCTTATTAATTACTAATTAGTTAAGCATAATAAATTACCTATCATATTAGATTTATTTGAGAATATTTGGCTAATATACAGCTAATAATATTTCAAAAATAAATACATTTAGTATCCCTGAGAATCCCTAAGTTTATTATTTTGAGTGCAATCCCATATAACTATTAATTGTGTGCATGAACTCGGAGTAAATAATATACAAATTGATTGATTTAAATATAATAATCAATAATTACTTTCGCAGACATTTATCTCAAAGCACTTGTTATCAGAGTTTATATCTTATAATAATATTTATTAATTTATGCCTTGTTTTTAACATTAATGTTTTGGCTATAGATTTACTATTAGTGAGCACTGGTGGTGCACTTGAACGCCAAATATGCAACAGTGCTCTCACTATAACATAGAGCACCGGGCGATCGACAACATCCTATACCCATCGCTTGATTTTTATATACATTTATTATTATAGTGTTTATTATACGTAATAAAAAGTTTACTTTTTAAGTGAATTTTATTTTAAACAAATAATCATTAATTACTTTTTGATAATAATTATTGGACTATATTTGAAATTATAAATACATGTGATTTCTATGAGACAAAAGTGTAGTGTTTTATAAACTGTACGGAGGGGACAGTTGTACGACATGTGCAGAAAGACCGGCAAAGATATGTTCAACCATTTGATGAATTTGGCCAAAGAGTCACATCTCAAGAGGTCCACCACTAGTGAGGCGGAGGAGGAACTGGAGGATAGGGACCGATAAATACGATCTACTAATTCCCAGCAAATCATTAAAAATATTATAAACACAACTGATAACCAAACTGACGGCACATTTGCGGATATTCTATAGTTGAGATCAATTAATTCATACATTCATTGAACCGTTTTTATATTCGTTTTAATAAATATTTATTGTATTTTATTTTTAATTATTTTCTGTTTATAATTTTACTAAACAAACCTAGACTCAATACCGAATTGCTTACTATCTTTTTCTATTTAATTTAATTTATAATCATATTTACTCATTAAAGATTGCTTACTTTACCAATGAAGCATGCAACATTAATATTTTTACTATGTAAAACTCCTATTTTGTTACTAATCAAAAAACTGCTTATATTTTTATTATAATCTGCCCCGACCTGACATTAAAACAAAATTAACCCTGAACTTGTATACATTATCAAATAAAAACTATATCAATACCTCCCGCAAACACATAAGTATTTTCTTATGAACACTCAATACGTCGATTACATATCAAACCCGATATACAGTATATAAACAGCCAAACTCACCCATCATACTAACCACATTATCACAAAATGAGTAAACTTACATTGATCCTATTGCTAACCACCTGCATAGCCGGGTCGCTACAGACTCCCACTGGCTGTCAAACTACCGACGCCTTGATTGACTACATTAATAGTCTGGACACCACATGGAAGGTATGTCTACCAATTGGACTACTGTTTAAATAATATACTAACTTATTGTGAACTCAACTGATGGACAGGCAGGTAAAAACTTTGACGACTCGTACCCCAAACAATACTTGAAGGGACTGTTAGGCGGACGCCGGCGCTCCACTCCGTACGCCAAACAGCCGGCTGTGAGCGATGAGCTCGAGATCCCGGAGTCGTTTGACGCCCGACAACAGTGGCCCGACTGCCTGTCCATTAAGGAGATCCGAGACCAGGGATCGTGCGGTGAGTTTTCAGCAATATTTTTAATACAATACTACTTTGATATTAAAACAAACTCGCTAATTTATAATTTCCTATAATTGTATCTTGATGAATGCAAATATTTTTCAAATTTGAGTTTAGCATGCATACTTTAATCATTTTAATACTAAAATTATCATCATTTTAAATAAAATGATTCTACTCTAAATTAATCTCAATTTACCCTGACTATAAAATAAATTACACAATTACAATAAAAAAATTTTATTTACAGTTTTGAGTTCATAAACATTATGCAAACATTATAACTAATACTGTATATACCGTTCCCATAAACTCCAGGTTCCTGTTGGGCATTCGCTGTGGTAGAGGCCATCTCTGACCGCATATGTATCGCATCTAAAGGCAAACAACAGGTGGAGGTGTCGGCCGAGAATCTACTGGCCTGTTGCAGCTCGTGTGGGGTCGGGTGTGAGGGTGGTTACCCGGAATCAGCATGGTCGTACTATAAAAACACTGGCCTAGTATCGGGTGGTCTATACCAGAGCAAAAAGGGCTGTCAGCCCTACTCGATCAACGCGTGCGAACACCACGTGACCGGAAAGTTACCCCCTTGTGATAAGGAGTTGAGACAAACCCCTAAGTGCGCCCATACATGCGAGACCGGCTATAATGGCACCTACACTAAGGACCTACACTTCGGCACCAAAGTGTACGGATTCAGTAACCAGAACCGGGAGGTCCAGGCAGATATCATGCAAAACGGACCGGTAGTCGCCACGTTTGATGTAAGTATTTAGCTCCCTGTCCAAAATACAAATATTTATCAATAACTATTTAAGTCTAAATACCATGTTTACATATAATATTATACTTTCCTTTGAACACTATTTATCTACCTGTCCCTAGAGAAAATAATTTAACGACCAATTTGTAAATATGTATAATTAGCTACTTGTCCATTAAAAACCATAGTAAACCACATATTATAAAATAGTTACAAAAATATTTAACTACCTGTTCATATAATAATAATAATAATAATAATAATTTTAATTACTTTTTCACAATTATCTAGACTTACGACGACTTCCTGACCTACAAGACCGGTGTCTACCATCACGTGGGCGGTGGTATCCCCGGCGGACACGCCGTTAAGATTATCGGGTGGGGTGTGGAGAACGGTGTGGACTACTGGCTGGTGGCTAACTCGTGGAATGAGGACTGGGGTGACAAAGGGTTGTTCAAGATTAAGAGGGGTAACGACGAGTGCAGCTTTGAAAGCGACATAAGCGCCGGTTTACCCAAACTGTAGACTTGTTATCAATTAAATAAAAAAGATTTTTCATTAAACTGTAAATTATTATTTATTTTATGTGTTTATCTTAATTCATTACTATTTACTAATATAAACTACGAATTATCACTTTTTCAAATACCTTGCTCAGATAAATTATTAAAACAATTCATACAAATTTCTATTGATTTTTCATAACTCCCGGGTTATTTAAACTCTGACCACGATTATTAAAGTTTTAAAATAAAACTTTCAAAATATAATTAAGTTTTAATTGATATTATCGAAACAAATAAACTAATAAAATCAAATAATTCAAAATATTATACGATTTACCTTTATAAATTATAATCATTATTTAATATAGGGAAAGTCCTCTGATTATTTAAAATCGTAAATAATTTTTTACGAGAACAATTTTATTGTCATGTAATTATACATTATTTCAAATGTGATCTCAAATAAAAGTTAAGTACAATTAAGTGCTTTTCTTGACAAAATTGTATTTACATAATTTCTCATACTCTACTCTACAGTATTGACAAATATCACAATACTTATAAAATCAACAATTATATACACTGTGTCAATTATTAATTCAATATCATATGAACAGGTCTATACAAATGTAATAATTCATACTAAAATGTTTCAAGTATGTTACTAACTATGATAACAGTATTATAATTTGTTATTTCAAAAATAATTCCCCAATTTCCTACTTTGTTTTAAGTACATATTGAGTACTTTCTCATTCAAATCAACACCAAGGTTGCTTTATATTTGAGAACATTATTGTCAATTTAAAACATTCCTTATTAATTACTAATTAGTTAAGCATAATAAATTACCTATCATATTAGACTTAATTCAGAATATTTGGCTAATATACAGCTAATAATATTTCAAAAATAAATACATTTAGTATCCCTGAGAATCCCTAAGTTTATTATTTTGAGTGCAATTCCATATAACTATTAATTGTGTGCATGAACTCGGAGTAAATAATATACAAATTGATTGATTTAAATATAATAATCAATAATTACTTTCGCAGACATTTATCTCAAAGCACTTGTTATCTGAGTTTATATCTTATAATAATATTTATTAATTTATGCCGTGTTTTAAACATTAGTGTTTTGGCTATAGATTTACTATTAGTGAGCACTGGTAGTGCACTTGAATGCCAAATATGCAACAGTGCTCTCACTATAACATAGAGCACCGGGCGATCGACAACATCCCATACCCATCGCTTGATTTTTATATACATTTATTATTATAGTGTTTATTATACGTAATAAAAAGTTTACTTTTAAGTGAATTTTATTTTAAACAAATAATCATTAATTACTTTTTGATAATAATTATTGGACTATATTTGAAATTATAAATACATGTGATTTCTATGAGACAAAAGTGTAGTGTTTTATAAACTGTATTTTAAGTGAATTTTATTTTAAACAAATAATCATTAATTACTTTTTGATAATAATTATTGGACTATATTTGAAATTATAAATACATGTGATTTCTATGAGACAAAAGTGTAGTGTTTTATAAACTGTTTTTTAATATTTTTTATATATTTTTAAAATATTTATTTTAATGCTAATTAAGATTGTGTTTAAATAATTATAATATGGAAGAGGAGGCTAAAATCCGGGGCAAATCTGCCTGGGACAGTTGCAACTTTTTTAGTAAATTATTTTTCATGTAAGTAGAAACTAATATAATTAAACATTTACACAATGTATATGCTGTTTAGACATATAAACAGGAAAAATTAACAAAACGTAAAATTAGTTTGAATTTAACCAGAAATTAACTTTTATTATATTTCCTATGATCTCAAATAATACCAATTATTATACTCAAAAGTAATAATAAATTATTTTTAAATTAAATTATTTTTAAATACATTAAATATTATTTCCAGTAACATAGCGTAATTGTATTGTAAATATTTTTGTAGTGTATTAATTAAAATACTGAATAATTTGTACATAATATTTAGTACTGTATTATTCACTTGAAGTTTAATTTAAAACTGCGGACAAAAATTTATTCATTAAATATTTAGCATTACATTGAATATGCATTTTAATATAAATTAAATCCATACTAATTATAATTATCAGTTAAATATTTATAATTAATCGCCAAAATTGTTTATATAATTATTATCACATTTTGTTACTAAACAAACATTCATTTTTTAACATAAAAATTTGACGATAAAAGTTTCCTGACCCAATGTATAGTGTACTACTGTATAGTGTATAGTGTACTACAACTACTGTATATTGCAAAATGTTAAGTTAGACTTCAAAGATTTGATTGAATTTTAAATTCTTATCTATATTTTAGTACATTTCATAAAATATAGTGAATTATTTGTTTAAATTATATTTTGATACTTACTATTTAATTTTAATTACTTATCTTTAATCGAGACTTTACTAAAAATTAAATGTTTAGAGAGAGAGAGAGAGAGAGATTTAATGAATTTTAATTGAAATTATTTATATTTAATAACCATATTATGGTATTATCTTACGGACTACCTAAAAGGGCTGACTATTAACAGCAAAAAATTAGATAATTAGATAACACTATAATTATTTACTAATATTTATAATTATTAATTAATTGTCAAAATTAAAGATTGCGTTAACAATTTATTTGGGTTATTAAATTATTTTATCAATAACATATGTTTTAATTTAGCTGGATATTCCCGACATGGATGACAGGGGTGCGCAAAAATGGGCTCGACATCGACGACATGTCCCGGTGCCCAAAGGAGGTCGACGCCCAGCGTGTCTGTAATCTACTCGAAAAGTTAGTATCAATTTATTACTCGTAAAATGTATTTTAAGTTTCAATTAAATTGGTTTATAGTATTAGATAACTTTTCTTGACACAATTTTTAAACTTAATAATAATCTAATTTTTATTTATAAATAATTATATTAAAAACTAAAGGAACTGGAGGTACGAGTGCACTAAACGTAAACCCAAGTATTGGAAAGCCTTATTCTGGACTTTTGGAAAGCATTACTTGTTCCCATTTTTCGTATTTTTAATCGAAGCAAGTTAATTTTATTTATAAATAAATACCTAGTAATACAAAACAAACCTAGAACTGTATATTATTATACAATACCTGTGATTAACAACTTTTTAATTACTTTACTTCTAAACAATTCAAAAGATTTTAAAATTAGAAATAATCCTAAACGTGTGGTTTGTTTTGTAGCGCCTGATACTGGTTTAAATTTAATTGTATTATATTAAAACATAACTTTAATTTTCATATACCCAGGAGAGTGTCATACGTATATCGCAGCCCATTCTGCTCGGGTATGTCATCGACTACTTCAGCGGCACACAGGGCGTCGACTACCGACAGGCGTGTCTGGCGGCCGGGGGTGTGTGCCTGTGCTCTATACTCTTCATATCACTACATCACCCGACGCTTGTGGTCTCACAACAGGCCGGTATGCGTATGAGGATCGCCAGCTGCGCACTCATGTATAAAAAGGTAAACCATTTCTTATGGCCAACCATTCACTCGTATAATTCATTAACTATTTTTTAACCCCAAATACTAGTCATTAAGACTAAGCCGGGCCTCACTGGGAAAGACTACTGTCGGTCAAATAGTGAACATTATGTCCAATGATGTCAACAGGTTTGATGAGGTATTGTATTACACTATGTTTAGTGTAGGTTAAGGTCAATACCTACGACCGGTACTTACTTAGTGAATGGTCCAGTAAATAACCAGTATACATTAAAATTTTGTTTTTTATTTGCAGTTCTCAACGTTCGTCCACTATTTGGTGTTGGGACCCATTCAGGCCGTTATCATAGCCTACATAATGTGGACACACCTGGGCTGGTCAGCATTTGTCGGGGTAGCCCTACTCGTGCCTTTCATACCGTTCCAGTTAATCATGGGAAAGCTATTCTCCAGATTTAGGTGTGTTTTTGTGATTACATTACTGTAATGTTAGTTATGATGCAATTTATATCAAGAATTTAATTTCTTAGACAAATGACAGCTAAGCTAACGGACGGTCGACTGCGGCTCATGAATGAGATTATATCGGGGATGCGAGTCATCAAAATGTATGCCTGGGAGCAGCCGTTTGCTGACCTCGTGGCCGATGCCAGAAAGTAAGCTATGTTTAAACACTACAATATTTACAAATCAAATAAATTACAGTATATATTTCCAGTTTAGCACCATAATTAACTAGTTTATAACATGTAATCTGGTACAATTTAAAATTAATTAAAATAAAACTAGATTAAAATTTTAAATTTTAAATATATATGCATGATTAAAATGTATACAGAAATATACGATAGTTAACTCACTTTATATCAAAAGTTTTAACTGAAAACATAACATTAATGTAACCACTTATCACAACCTATACTATACCCTGGTGTCAGGTCAGAGGTGGGTCGCATCCAGAGGTCATGCCTACTGAAAGCCATCAATTTGTCGCTGTTTTTCGTGGCCTCGCGGGTCATACTGTTCGCCGCATTCATCACATATGTGTTGACCGGAAACCTACTGACCGCCAAAGCCGTGTTCGTCACAATGGCGCTGTTCAACACACTTCGCATCACTTTAACACTACTGTTCCCCAACGCCATCGCCCAATGGGCTGAACTCAAAGTGTCGTGCTCTCGCATCCAGGTCAGTGTTTCAATTAGAAACCATGAAACGATATTTTTGAAATTTAGTTTTTTAAATAAAAATTTCAAGCCTATATAATCATTGAATATGTACTACTTACTTTATCCAGTTAATATATTTTTAAAATCGCTATAACTTATAGCCTATAAGTATTAGCATTAATTTACTTGTATTATACGATTATAAATTTAATTACATAATATAATTGCGAGAAATATTGCAGTTATACTGTACTTATAATATTTGATTTAAATTTTAAATATATTTTCTAGACATTTTTAGAACTGGGGGAAATGGAGCCTAAAACATATAACACTAAAGGTTTTGGTGATTTAACTGCCTTTCCCAAGAAAAATGCAAAACCAAAGGTTTTTGTCAATAATATATCCGCCAAATGGAGTGAAGTATGAAATATAGTTTTAATTTATATTCATTTTCATTTATAACCTAGCTAATATTAATTATTTATGATCAGGACACTCCGTATGCAACCATTCAAAACATTTCATTTAATTTAAAACCCGGAGATCTATTAGCGGTGATTGGACCGGTAGGGGCGGGAAAGGTATGTTTGTGTTATTTAGTTAACCACACTTTAGTTTAATAATTTGAACTGTTTTATTAATTATTTTTATAGAGTTCACTAATTATGTCTATACTTAATGAGCTACCGGTGCTCGAGGGAAGTGTACAGACTGTGGGCACCATTAGCTATGCCTCACAAGAGCCCTGGAGTTTCAATAATAGCGTTAGAAATAATATACTGTTTGGCAGTGAATACGATGAGCACCGGTATAGACAGGTAATGCATGTTTGTGCTCTGGAAAGGGATCTCCAGATATTCCCCTTCGGAGACAAGACATTAGTCGGAGAGAAAGGGGTCTCACTATCGGGTGGACAGAAGGCTAGGATCACTTTGGCCCGGTATGGCATTCACGGCACCGGTAGTCTATACAACAGTCCTATTGACTAAAACAATGCATTCTTTGCAGAGCTTTGTATCGCAACTCAGATATCGTACTAATGGACGACCCGTTGAGTGCTGTCGACACCTCTGTTGCCGAACATATATTTGATAAGTAATGCCATTAATAGTCATATGAGACACACCTACCAGTCCTCTAAC